GTCTCAACTCTAGTTCAGCTTGTTCCTCTTCAAAGTTTCTACGGTAATCCCACAATAAGAGGGACTGGAAAAAGTTGAAAACCTAGCGAAACCAGCTCTACAGAATGGTTCAAGAATATTAAAGACATCAGCAAGTTAGTTATTAACATCAAACATGTGTAACTGTTTGAAACATCCTGTGATTTTCAACAGAATATGCACTATGAGGATTGCACAAGTACAGTCATTTCAAATGATCATGTGTGCATTGCACACGCCGTCCATCTTTGGCGTCTTCATCCTGGATTTCCAATCGAACATCACTTTGTGGAGACCGGTACCTAAAAGCTAAGAAAGCATAAGGAAAATACCGATAACTTAGGTAGACGCCAGACTTGTTCGTTTCAATCGGTTGTGCGATTGACTCATTCGCTATTGGTCAAATCACACTGACTGACCAATAGCGAACGGGTGAACCCGCATATGCGGTCCATTCTGGTGCCTACCTTACGTGAAGGAGTGTCTGCTCCAAGCATTCGGGATGGGAACGCCGAAGGTGGGACAGCTTGTGCAGTGACACACATGATCATATGAAGTGACTCGACTGTAGCCAGTAATAACAAAGACCCCCGTTTTTCTTTGTTAACCCTGATACTAGTCACAAACAGGGTTACCAACCAATTTAGGTCTGCGCTTGATGGTGTTTGTAAACACATCCGACTATCTTCCTACGACAGAAGCTACAGGAGTCCGAATTGCAATTCATGGACAGAGAGAGTGCCCTTTTCCGGATACATTTGGCTATTCTGCACCAACTGGAGCTGTTTCTTCTTTTGGAATGTCACTAGTGAGTTTTCTTTCGAGAGGTATTAGCATGCCGGACGAAAATAATTTAGAGAAAGGTGAATCGGCTGGAGAATGGGGACTGCTTCAATCCAGACACACCTCTCCCAACTGGGTACATCTATCGCGAGTATCAATACGAACCTGAGGTAAATGATACAGATTTTTAGATTTTTCTTGCTTGGAAGCAACGCTTCAGTGTAGTGGAGGTGATGAGCAGTTTTAGAATAGC